CACTAATGTTTCAGCTCTGTGAATATGAACTTCATCACTTGTGCTACTGTAGATTACTCGCATAGATGCTGTTGGACCATTGAACAGAATAATGAAGTGCGCACGCAGTAGCATATACAAGAGAAATCAAGGCAGAAGTAATGAAACAAGTGCCTCCATCCTGTATTATCTGTACAGTCCATTCTAAACTTTGTTTTCTTTTTTTTTCTTTTACCCCAGACTCTCAGTGGAATTAACCATTGATACTATAGGCTTTCTTTTTCTTTAGAAAAATATGTTGAAAGTGCAAATAGTAGGTCAATTCACCTGTACAAATGCATTGATTTTCTTGACATAATATGATTGTTACTTGGTGTCAATATCTTCACTTTTGTAATATTAGCTCCAACTAAAGTATGTTACATGTTGGATTATAATGAGAGATGCATGTCATGTGTTCATTGTAGTTAAGTTTTCTCTTTGAGCATTTAAAGGATCTGACTGATTTGATACATAGGCATGCCAGTTATTTTGAACCATGAAAATAGAAGGCATGTTGAAATGACAAAAAATTCCTTCATTTTGAATGAAAAAGGGTATATTAATTAAACAACTCCTCTCTACCTTCACGAGGGAGGAGTAAGGCTACATACGTACACACCATCCTCCACTTTGTGGAATTATACTGTTGTTAAAAAGGTAGATTAAATTTATCTATGCCAAAAGCCAAAAGTTCTTATGACGCTTAGTAGTAATGAGATATCCTCCATACTTGCTGCTCTTCCTTCTCACAGCAATTGTCATGCAATTTGCCTTCTGAATACAGTATTCCACAACTCTGCTTCTTGACCTTTTCCTTGTCCATATTCTTAGCAGGCGCCACATTATCGATCTTTTCTTCTGTCCTAACACCAGTAAAGAAGCTTTATGTTGCTTTGCTTCTTCAACAACCACAGCTCCTTTCTCTTTTCCTTCTTGCATGACTATCTCCACTTGTACCTAATGTAATGCACATCATGAAAATTTAGCACCAGAATAAATTCTTAGTACTTTATCTTTTTTGAATATAAGAAAGTTAATATGCCTAAAAGATCAATTTCACCCTTCTGTTATACCATCAGTATAAAAAAACACCTGTCGTTACCTATATAGTTCAAATATACCCCTAAATCCGTTACGATTTGTTCAAGGTGGACACTCAATCCCACATGACAGTGACATTTTCAATGCATTATCATGAACGAGGTGAAAGTTCAGTGAGCCAATACTAAATTTCCATATAATTGATAAACCTACAAAATTACTTACTCCTGGTTTCCTTGTTTGGCACATATTTTTCATGGAGCAAAGAAGTTCATACGCCCTCTGATTAATTTCACTGTTTGCTTTTTCACCTAAATCATAATAAACTGAACATAATTAGTTAAGAAGTTAAAAAACTAGCTGAGCGCTAAGCTCAGTGACAGAGCCAGAATTTTAATTCACGAGTCTAAAAGATTTACCTTTGTTTGAGATTTTGCTAACATAAAGAAGAATAATAGTATCCTGGCTTTGAACAGTATGAGAAAGTGCCCATTGCAAAGCACAATTAGGATCAAGACTAGGATCAACCACAACCATAACTCTGTTATTATTACTATTATTATCACCAATACTCTCAGAATCCGACCTCGACTCGACACTGTTGAAGCTCATTTCCGTGCTGCTGCAATATTTACTGTCAGAGTCGTTGAACTTGATCGAGCCCGTCCTTTTGTACTGTTTACAAGGAGAACGTGCTCGAACACGAACTACCGCTCGACTCATACAGAATCCGTGCAACTTCGCACGGAACGGATTCATGCTTATGCCCTAAATTTCAACTGATCAAAAAACTGAAATTTTTTAGTTTATGGATAATGGAGAGGGCCAAAGAAACAGAGCAAATTTAATTTGGTGGTTTCTAATGGGACCAATTTATATTTGATTATATATTGTGTAATACGTGGAGAGAGTGATCTTGACTTTTTTTATACGTAATATGTTGGGTAATAGAGACAGACTTTAATAGTCATGCACAATTATTTTCTGGAATTTCTTTTGAATTTTTCAAATATGGTTGTCTTTGACGTGCCAACCATTATCGTGAAGTGGTCCATTAGATTCATATTGATTGGTTGTTGAATTCAATGTTGCTTCACATTGCTCATTTTGTTCTATCATTCTTCTTGTGAGTAGATTATTTGTGGCACACGTAAAAGACTCGTAGAGCTACAATAGGATTTGCAAAAAGATTCAAACATCTAGCATTAATAATATTGTTGTTAGGCCATCAAATCAAGGGTCGTGATGAAACGAGAAAGCAATCTTTCATTCTTAATCAGAAGTTTTAGTTTCTTAGTTGGAGTCAATATGAATATCAAATAGGTAAGCGAAAAAATTATATTGTAATTAAGCTCAATATATGAAAGAACTATTATACCCATTAGAGTCGACTATAAACAGATTCCTAAACTAATTGGATTTTTCACCTCGGGTATCTCAACTACGTTATTTTTCTATTGAATCATTTTACCACTCATAATTTATTCCTTTTAAACACGGTTGGCTGATTTTGATCGACTTTTCTATTGTAATCATATTGTAATGATTTTGATTGAAGGAATGAAGACAAACTGTGTGTTAGTATCATTTGTTTTCTAAAGTGTTCAAATGACTTGTAATAAAACACAATTATTCTCTAATATTTTCATTGTCAACTGAACTAATAAGTTGTGAAACAACATACGTATTCTCTCTATCCCTCACAAAATTTGGTTCCACATCAAATTAACGGTGTTTAAAAGAAACAAATTGTGAGTGGTTCAATGATTCAGTAGAAAAATAGCATAATTGAGATAATTTTAAATATAAATCTAACAAATTTAGAAATTTATTTATGTAGTTGGCCTTCTATAATTTTGATCATACTAAATAGATAGATTTACTTGTATATTTTCAGTAATCTAGTTATATAAATATTTTCTATATTATCAAATACATAGAATTTTAATTTTTTTTATATTTATTTTGATGAAATTCCCACCATTTGTCATTTCTAGTTGTGGAAATATGAATGCAACAGAGCAACTACGGCAGTTGAAATATTTATTGGTTGTAATCACTTAATTCGAAGCTCGTGTATCACTTCTTTTGCTATTTTTTTCTTTCTTTTTTTATCCAAGAAATTAATATTTGTTAAAAGCATAACTTGTTTATTTTAGTAAAAAAATTGTAAATGCTTCTCAAATTTTTTTAAATCTTGTGCAATGATAAAGTGCAAGTATATGGAATATTTTTTTTGTGGTCTTGATTTTCATGCACTTTCTTTTTGTCTCCTATGTGTCGAAGACCTATTCTTGTCTTTGTCTTGGTCAATTTATTTTTCGGGAGCAACGAAATTAAAATTTTCAATTTCAAAATAATTATAGTTAATTAAGTTTTAGATAAATTATTTATATTAAATTTATTATTGTAATAATCCTTAACTAAAAAAATTAAATTTAACATAAATATAGCTAATTGAATTTAATAAGTAATTTTAAAAAAAATAAAGAGCCAAAATTAGGGATAATGCCCAATACCCCTCAACCTATGCCCGAAATCTCAGAGACACACTTATACTATAGTAAGGTCCTATTACCCCCCTGAACTTATTTTATTAATAATTTTTTACCCTTTTTAGCCTACGTGGCACTATCTTGTGGGCTCAACTATGGTTGACTTTTTTTTCAAACTAGTGCCACGTAAGCTAAAAAGTGATAGAAAATTACTTATAAAATAAGTTCAGGGATAATAGGACCTTAGTATAGTATAAGTGTGTCTCTGAAATTTCGGACATAGGTTGAGGGGGTACTTGTTTTCCCCAAAATTATTGAATTTCGCCGGATTATTAACTTTCCATGGGATCGAGGGGGTGAGGTTGTTTAAGCGTATCAATTTGTTTATCGTACTTTTATCACTTTCTAATACAATAATTTTTTATTTATTTTAAATTTATATATTAAAAATTTCTTGCTAGTATTCTATGTAATCCTTTTCTAATCATTGGTTTACCAAAATTCCCACCTTTAAAAGTTGCTTAAAAGAAGTTATGTTATTCTCAATCCAAATAAAAATAAATAAATTAGATCACGATATTATATAAAAGACTCTTATCAAATTAATCGGGATGTATTTTGTATGAAAAAAAAGTAATATTAAATCCTTCATACTTGAAAATAAATATCAAGTGATAATATATAAAAATGATGTGAAAAATCCATTTGGCATTTAAATAAAAATAAAATGAGTTAGATTTTTCGAATTGGCTAACTAACGCCCAAAAGGACATATGTAGACCAAAAGTTAAACGGCTAAAATTTTAAATGGACCAAACTTTAAAAAAATATATCTGAACCTTTTCGAATAGTTTAGGGATATTTAAAATTTTTCCCTATCCCTAATTATACCAATTCATCAATATCATACTATCAAAAGTCAAATATTTAGAAAAATATACTTTTTTTTATATTCTATATCTACATGCATAGAAAATTCTTGCTGGCATTCGTGATTTTTGTTTTTAACCAAACAACCACTGAAAATTGATTTTTTTTTTTTGGTAGTACCAATCAAGAAAAGATGACAAAGAAAATGCAGTGTCTTTTGTCCGTTTGTTTTATATCTTTTAAGTAATATCTATTTAATTTTATGCTATAGAACAATAGTTTTATGGATAAATAATTGACAACCTATAACCAACCAAAAGCATCTTTCGAATAAATTAAAAAATTTATTCATCAATCATTCATCAAGTTATATATATTATCATATCTCCTAACTATCATAAAAACAACATACTCACAACATGAGTTAATAATATTACATTCAAAATTACTAAATCCTTTAACACTTATGTAAAGTGTTAATTATAAATATTCATATTTATTGTTATCGTTAAATATAATATAAAAGTTATTACTATATAATTACTACAAAATCCTTTACGTGATATTATGGAATCATACATCAAAATTTATTTTTAACATATATTATAATGTTTTTACAACAATCCATCTATATTGTGGCATGTCTTTGAAAGCAAGTACACATAGACAATATATTGTGGCATCAAAATTATATACCTAGTTAATTATATTGAAGTATTAATGATACCTTTTAATTAATATATTGTGGCATCAAAATTATATACCTAGTTAATTATATTGAAGTATTAATGATACCTTTTAATTATTAAGATGACGAAGCATCCATTGTGGCATCACAGTATTATTAGCTGCACCTTGCTGCTGTGAAGAACTACCTCCTTCCACTTCCCCATTATCTATTACATTAGTACTCTGGTATGCTTCCCTACATTACATTTTCAATTAAATCAATCCAGTAATTTTGTTACGAAACATAATATGTAACCAAAAAATAGCCAAAATGTTTCGATATTGAACCTGAGGTTCAAAACTACAATTAATGTATTGCATCTAATTTTATTTGCTTTTCTATTTGATGTCCAGTACAACTTTATAGACTTTTAATTAAAAATAAAGTACTTACTAATCTTACGATAGTGCTTATTAATTGTATATGTCTATATGATAGACCACAATTCACATACTTTGATGTTGCCAAGAAAGCTATCCCCACCAATAATGCATCTCTTCTTTCTTTTTTTTAATAAAAAGAAATATAATCCAAGGTAGAGTGGTGCAAAGTTTTGGTAGGTAATAAATTTGGCTCTATATGCTTCTAGACTTCTAGTGAAAGGCCAGAATTGCTCCTATCGATACATTAAAAATAATTATAGCAATAATTAATTTTTTAGTTGTTGTTATATATATATTTTTTAGCGACAATTAGTATTTTCTATATATGTTTTTAAAGCTTTTAGTAATATTTATTCTAATGGTATTGAACACATGTCGATAAAGACTTTAGCATTCTTTACTAATATCTATATTTATTGCCGCTAAAGATTGTTGTTATTGTAGTAGTATATGCATATGCAACTTTATTTTTTTTAAGTAGTTAATTATTTGGCTAAAACATTTAACCAATCTAAAAACTTTTTTAAGTAAAAGTTTATTAAATAAAAATACTCTTCTTCTTTTTAATATCATAAAAGACATATAACTTTAAAGTTTATCAGGTAAAAATCGTCCATGTTTAAATTTTTTTGCTCTGGATGACCACATATGATTTATACAAATCTATAGTATATAGACATTTGATCAAGGCAATTATCCCTTTAAAAGAACTGTTGATTAGATGATTGTCATTTGGTTTTTCTCATTTCATAATCTTGTTTTTATATCAAATGTCATTAAATAAAAAATAAAAAAGTTAAGAATAAAATAAGGGGGAAAGAGGAGTATACCCAAGGTGAGGAGAGTCCAGTTGTTGTGGCAAAACAAATGAAGATGAGTTGATTTCCCACTGATTTTGCTGTGCCACCTCTTTCTCCCTCTCCTTCACCTGTTTTAATATTCACATAAGTATTTGTGACAAGTAGATGTATTTTATTTGGGGATATTGTAATAACCTTCTTCGAAAGCTGGTTGTTTTGCTCCTGCAATGCTCTGTCCTGTACAAATGCAAACATCAAAAAGTTACTCAATTTGGTGGTATACACAATTATGCAATATAATGATATGAACCTGAGTCTAACACAACCTCAAAAGCTAGTAGCTTTTGTAATGGTCAAGTCGAAGACTTAACAGTATTGAGATATAAACAAATTGTTGATTGCAAGACTTGTTGGAAACTATAGGTGTGTTTGATACAAAGGATAACATGTAAGATATTTTTTCGAAAATGTTTTCTTTGGTAAAAAGTAGTTTTATTACTTATTTTTTCATGTTTGATAAGTAAGAGATAATTGAAACAAAAACTACGGGATGGGAGGTAGAGGGTTAGGGTTAGGGCCGGGCGCAAGGGAAGGAGGGTGGAGAGGAGGCGATTAGTATACGTAGAATGTCAATTACTGAACTTGTTTCGCGCTACTTCCACTAGGGAAACCATTTTTAAATTGGACTCAAGTTGTTAGACAGCCACATCATATTAAGTACACTTTTGAAGAAAATTCTCACCTTTTTTTGAAGCACAGAAATGGACTCATGCATCAATTGATTCTACAAAAGAAATCAAAAACTTCAATTTAGAGAGTTATTTATCAAATAAAAACTATATTGTATAAACATATAATTTGGTTGAACCTTTCTTGATCGAATGTGTTTAAGAGCTGAATCAAGCTGGTGCTCCAGATTCTGAAGTTCCTTCATACTTAAGGACTCCAAATCTTCTCCCACATAATGCCTGCAAACATATCATAAAATTTTCTAAGTAAAGGGGAAAATATACATATTTATATATAATGTCACAAAAAATTCTTTAATGTGACTATGTATGTACTTTTGGTTCCTCTGCAGAACCTCAAGTCTGGCCTTAAGTTTTGCATGTTCAAGGGTCCAGCTTACCTGCACCAAATAAATTTATAACTTCCTCCTCAAAAACGAGATTTAAGCTCTATATACTGACGATATATATATAAGTAACACGAAAGAATTTGGCATACCGGGGAGGTATGATCAGTAGGAACAAGCTGTTTCTCAGCAAATGAGTATCTTTCATATCTTTCAAGTATCCTCTCCATGCTAATTACATACATATATATATAGTATCACAAGAGAATATACATATGTCAGATGAAACAAATACAAAAAAATGAAATATATACAGGAATTGCACAAAACTATAGAGATTATTCTCTTTCAAGTCCTTAGATAACTTTATTAATAGAGCAATGTTTACGTAAAAGAGAAATTGAACAATAAGCTATACACAATATTAACGTATACAACTTATTACTCTTCCTCCTGTTTAGTTCAAATGATAAAGTTTAAGAAACTCGTGACATAGGTTTCAAGTTCGAACCAAGTCTAGTATGAAATTAAGTAGAAAAGTGTAGAGGAGCGGGCTTATTATTATCGAGTTTCAACAGTTACACTTAGTCCTAAGAATTGGCCCAAACACATTTTGTTGATATGAAAAAGGGATAGAGCTATAAGCGAAGGTCGAAAACAATTACCTTAAAGTATATATGTGTAACTTTTGAACTTCTTTAAGTTAATTTTGGTTTGAATATTTCATGTTTAGCTTATTAAGATGTGGTCTTTGTTCTAATTAACATGCTTACTCAAATTAATGTCATAATATAGACTTAAACTACCTTAATTACTTATCTACCCTCTTTCTTTTGTTCCCTATTCATTTTTTCTTTTTATTCCTACCATTAACCCCAACCTCACCTGCCTGACCTCTTCTGAATAACAACTAGAAGCTAAAGTTAAAACACAATGCTAAGGAGGAGTACAAATATAGTTGTCAAAAGTATTCCCTTTCTTATATATGTAGAAGCAATTTAATTAGTCAAAATCACATGATGTAAGGGTATGAGCATAGACATGTTCATATATAAGTTATAGTAACTTATAAAAGCATAGAGACATATATCAATATAATATATCAAAAGCATAGAGAGAAGAGATATTGAAAATTTTTGTGATATAACATTTTGAAAAGAAATTGTTATAGGGTGGCGATGATTGTTTGAGGAGAGGTAGAGATAGACCGAGGAAGAAATAGAAATAGGTGATTAGACAAGATATGACACTTTAACTCAGGAGCAGAGCTAGCCTCTAGAGACATGAGTTCGGTCGAACCTAGTAACTTTGGTCCAAACTCTATATATGCCTTGAGAAATCTATTCAATATGTACAAATTATTAAGTATTATTAATTTAGAATCCACTAACTTGAAAGAGCTAGATTCTTGAACCCACAAGATTTGAATCCTAACTCCAACTCTGCTTTAACTCACCAAAGATATAATCCTAGATAAAAGGGTGTGTTAATCAAAGATAGGAATAGACGAGTAGTAGGTAATCAAACATTTTCTGTCTTCCTAGACAAAGTTCTAGCCTAGATAGCATACATATATGTTCCCTTGCCAATATTCCTATAATAATGCTACCATTATCTTATTCTTCAATTTTGTTTTAACAATATTACAACTATAATGTTAGTATTATCTTATTATTTAATTTTGTTTCTTTGAATTTACTTAGGTTATCTTTAATATATGTATTGTTAGTAATTTTCTTTCTTTAATATTTTCTTCATAGTTCATATATATAGCTTCTTATTCTTGTATTTTCTTTCAAACTATATTTTGATAAATAATTTTTTGAGTCGAATTAAACAATCAGACCTTGCTTGTGGAGCTAGAAAGGGTTTTTTTATCAACGGAGGTAGGGTAAGGACTGGGAATCGAATTTTCATCAACAATATGAAATTTTAATTAGTCAACCAACTTTGATATTAAGATTTCCTTAAGAAAAAGTTAAAATGTCATTTAACCTATTAAAAATATTCAGAATGTCTTCTTCTTTTCTTTCTATCCACTGGATCAAATTTATCACTTGTGTTATTTTAAGATTAAAATTTCCCCTCCATTAGTAGTATAATTATATTGCATCTAAATAATTTTTAATTAATTGCTTAGGAAAATTATATACAATAGCAAACTAATAACCTAAATAAAATGGAGTAACTAGGGTTTGATTTAATTGTGCTCCATAGCAAACGTTTGCAAAAAATTGTCAGGCGCCTCTCTCCCAAATATCCCGCTTGCCACTCTCCTACAATCTCTCGCTCGCTTCCTCACTTTTATACAAACACAAGTGTATAAAAATTATTTCTAATTGTATAAAGCAGAGGAAATTGTATAAATACATATTTTTGTTCCCCTCGCTCGCCACTCTCCCAAATCTCGCTCGCCACCCTTGCTTTTCTCACTTATACAAACAGAAGCAAAATATATAAATTGCATTTCTGTTTGTATAAAGCGTGAGAAAATTGTATATACACATGCAAGTACATATATTTTTGTCCTATACACTTATAATTATACAATAAAAATACTCCTCTGTCCAGTTTCTTTTGCCTCTCTCTTTCTCGTTTTATACAATTTTCAAATTGTATCTAATTTCTCTCTTTATCGTTTTATACAATTTGATTCAATTGTATATTCCGTGTCAAATCTCTTTTGTCTTTCTCTCTTTCTCATTTTATACAAATACAAATTGTATATAATCGTTCTATACACTTATAATAATACTATTTGGTTTATACACTTCGTTTTTATACAGTTCTCTGTCTAAGTGTCTTTCTCTTTTTTGTTTTATACACTTCGTTTTATACAATTTGCTTCAACTATATATGTATAGCGAATGATACAGTTTCTATGTTTGCTATGAAGCGCAATTATGCAAATTTTGCTATAATATACAAATATGAATTTTTTATTTGCAATATGTGAAAGTTGACTCCTCAGTAGCTCATATGAATCTGGTGACTATTGGTATGTTTAGTCGGGCGGCGACCATTAGGTCACCTATTTTGAGTTTGTCCTAAATTTTATTTATTGCTCCACATAAAATACCAACCCAGCCCATCCATGTATGACCCAACTTAATTAACTCACAACCCATTTTGAATTTACATAATTACACAACTAAGCAATGAAATTTTTTACTTTTCAAGTTAACGTGTGAAAAATCATTTCAGATAGTACATCAAGCAATTCGCTCTAAATTACCTAATAAGTTAGAATAAGCACTTGAAAATTCATTTTTATAATAAATAAAGGTAACTTAATAAAATCGAAATCTTAACTTCTGGCTACTCTAATATACCATTCTAAAAATTAATGTACATAGCTTTTAAAAAAGTACAAGTAATAAATTCGTTGAATATATCCAGCTAACGTTTGGCTCAAAACTATAGATTATAATTAATCCCGCATGTCTGGCTATTGCACCTACCATCAGAATATATATTAAGAAATATTTTTAAAATATATACATATATATTATAAATATTTTTAAAAAATAGTAATAAGCTATAAATATAATAAATTTAATGCATTGAAAATGACTTCAGTTATTGTTTAATAAGGTGAATAAGAATAGTGTTAACAGTGATGTATAAGTAATGTTGATTTTAGTTATGATGATATTATTTATTATGCAGTATTTGAATTGGTATATTAATAATAACGTACGTTGCATAATTATTTTTTAAAAAGAATTGGTTTACTAAATACTCTCCACCAATATCAAGAAAAAGATTTGGAAAAGGTTTTGACGGGCAATTATGACTTTAATCATTCTAATACATGTTTTAAAACCCCTTACATTGTTAATATAATGATTTAGATTGTTTAATACCTAATATATAGACTGTCATTAATTATATATAGATTGAAAAAAATATATCAAACAAAGTATTAGTTATATACAAAATGAATACATGCGTTGTCTCTTTTAATGCAGCTTAATGTAATATAATTTCTTGTTTTCAAAACTGAACAAGTAAAAATAGATATTTATATTTAGTTTAATAAACTGAAAAAAGTAAACAAATCGAGCAATATACTTCAATAAATTTAGGGAAAAGGGGCAAATATATACCTTTCAACTTTGTGATTTAAAGAAAATATATCCATTATTAAAAAATGGTACATATATACACTAGACGTTTAACAAATGATATATACCTTGGTTTTGATAAATATTTATGGTGCATATTTACCCTTTTCGTTAACCAAATTTTTTTAAAAAAATCTAAAGTTAACTTTTTGAATTCAAAAATATCAGATGACTTTAAAATTTTTTATACATATTCCTTTTCTTATTCAAGTTCAATCCAAAACTCATTTTATGACCGAGAGATTGAATTTTCTTTTATTTTCCTCAATTATGTGGTTATTTTGAAATTAAAATATCAATTTTAGTTTGTTTGTTTTTTTCAATTCAATAAATATAATTCTGTTAATTAAAAAAAGTGTACTTGGTAAATAGTGTATATATACATATAATTATTTTACTTTTTTTTTATGAGGATTATATCCGCTTTAAATGCTAGTTGAATAGTTATTTTTGTGCTCTTTAAAGCTGTTCTACTGTAGACCTCGTTTCTGCAAAAATTTTGAAGAGTTGGTAGTCAGTTTGCACTTGCATGGAACACACACATCATCTGAAATATACTTTTACTATTGTGCTTATACATAGAATTATTAAAAGAAAAACTGTACATATAGTTTTTAATAACTTTTTTTTCAAAAAAATATAACATCCTTTTAACAGAATGATCACGTCATAAGCTAGATCCTACATATTTACATATTATATATATTAAAAAAAGAATAAAAATAAATTAAATTAAAATTAAAACTAAAAAGAAAAAAGAGCATATATAATTTTTTTATATACTTTAACAACCACGTGATTCTCTACCTACTAAACACGAAATAATCATGGATCTGTTTATTAAGAGATTATTTAGACTATATAAAGAAACAAAAACAACAGGATCTATCGAGATTATAATTATGTTGTAAAATATTATTTATTTAATTGGTTTCTGCATGCAGTTTAGTAAACTAATAATATTATTTTTTTACATATAAATACCCACATAAGAACAAAAAAAAACAGTATATATATTTAACACATAAAATATCACCAACAAAAAGATATCAAAAAGTCAAAATGAATAGAAAAAAAAAATTCCAATCTCTAATTGAAGATCAAGAGTATAAGAGCATATTTAATTAAATTTAAAAAGAGATATATGAGCGGAAAAAGAGAATCAGGGCGGCTCAATAGAATTAAAGACGAAAGAGTACGTACCAGGAATCGTTGGCATATTCAAAGAGTTTTCCTTTAGTAGAAAAAACAATCAAACCAACCTCAGCATCACAAAGCACAGAGATCTCATGGGCTTTCTTCAGCAAACCAGATCGACGTTTCGAGAAGGTAACTTGACGGTTAATTTTGTTCTCTATTCGCTTCAACTGGACTCTTCCTCTTCCCATTTTTTCGGATATTTTTTCTATACTATGAATAATTGTTGTTGTAATATATATATCATATCAAATGGAGACAGACGGAAGAAAAAAAAAGAAGGGTGTGGAGTAGTGTTTCTCTGTTTGGTATCTGAAATAACTTTTGTTGGGCAAAATATCCCAGATGTGGAAGAGAGAGAATATAGTGGTTTTTAAAAAACCAGAGTGGTTTCGTCAAATGTGTTGTCGATTTTTCATTGGACAGAGAAGATGGATTATTTGTTATGTGTCTCAATAAAACCCACAAGTTTTTTTTTGTACAGTAGACAATAGCCGTGCGCATCTTGTAGCCAGGTGATGCGAAACAATGGAATAACGCCCACCATCTTTTTGAAATTTCGGTGAAAATAGTAGCTTCGTCACGAATTAATATTTGATAAATATTATTATACATTCATAATCACTGCTTCTTTTAAATAAAATATTTTTTTCGTTTTATATCAATTGATTTTTTTTATATGTTTATTGAAAAAAAATTATAAGTAAGAAGATGATATTGCTAATTCCACACATATTACTTTTAGTATGATGATAAACTAATATAAAACTGAGGGAGTAGATTATTTGTTATAATAAGATAGAGATACTGTTAAAAAATATGATATAGTAAATGAAGTTGGTATAATAAAAAATATTAAAAGGAAATGCTTCACTAATGAGGCCTTATATAGCACGATTTTTTTTTATGATAGATTATATATATTATAGTTAGGGAATTACATGGCTTTGAGACATATTGGCCTCTACATAGTTTCGAAGCCTATTGGCTTCCACGTATTTTTTATATATTAGTTATTACGGCTACCTTATCAAAACATGCTAATTTAATACAAATTATTCTTAAAACGAGCCTAGTAGATATAACTCTCTGTTGGTCATCTTTTACAAGCGCCATAGTATGCTCGGAGGGGTAGATAGTATAGTAATTTGGGAGGACGATGTTAGCGTGGTACCTAGTCTTGACAAAAACTCTGCTTCATGGTATATATAACTTAAGACTGATGTTTTTATATAATTGGTATAGTTTAATTTATGATTCCATTACGTTTAATTGTGTGATTGTATATTTAAAACTTAAATTTCTATAACAGTTTATAAAATTTTGTATTGCTATTAAATATATTTTTTAAAATAAAACAAAAGAAATTAATAAGGAAGTATGTCTTTTTTATTCGGACATGATGATTCATAAACTGGGATAAAGATTTATAATAGATTGTAGGGTAAATCTTATATTTAGGTATTTCATTTTCTTATAATTTTTATCAGCTGTATATAAGTTTCAATGGTTTAATTTATTGTAGTAATAGGTTATTGTTGGTGCTTCTGTTGAATAAATAACAAAATCAAGCATTATGGGTATATAGTTGTTTATAATTTCTTTGATACGATGGTACAAAATTATCTTATGACTTGAGGGGGGTGTTTGGTAGGCAATATTTCGGAGGAATATTTCAAAATTAAATTTTAAATAAATTTATAGTTACTCTCTTCTTAATTATTTGTTGATATTTTAATTTAAAATTGTCTCAATTATTTATAAAAATTTTAAATTCTTAATTAATTTAATTCATAATTAATAAAGATAAAATAATAAATTACTATATCAACTATCATTTTTTAATAATATATTATTTAAAAATTGAATAAATATTTAAAAATAAAAAAATTTATATTTAATTGATAATATATCAATCAAACGCAATATAAATTTAATTCGCAAAAATCAAAGCGTAAAGTTAACCAATTCATTGGCTGGGTGGATAGCAGTCGTTTGTATGGACAAGAATTAATGTACGGCTAATACTATTGGTTAATTTATTGAGCAAATTGTGTGGTCCAACTGGATATTCACTCTCTTATCCCTTTCGTTTTCCTCTTTTAGTATTTTATTTTTCACCCCATAGTAATTGTTATTTTTTAAATGTGCATTGGATAAATTTATATATATATATATATGTAATAATTAGTAAATTATAGGCTTAAGTCATTTGTAATCTCTTAAAGTTATCCGCATAATTTATTTAATACGTTAGCGTTGAAACAAAAAAATAAAAATGAAATTTTGAGAACCCATTAAACCTGAAAAGACAAATTTTATTTACAGATAACAAAATAAAAATATGAACAAATTCACACGTAGCAACGACTAATCCAAGTAAATATATAGAGAGAGAATATTTCCTTGACTTGACCCATATTTATGACAAAAATTTGACGAATATTAAATCATATCAATTATATAAAGTTAGCGTAACATGCACCATATTATTAAATGAATTAAAGGAATTATCCCCTTGACGTTTTGTGGAACACTTGATATTTTTTGGATTCTCCCTAGCTCATAATATAAATGAAATACAGCTCATGTTTTAGCTAAGATTTTTCAATTTTATTTTCCCTTTTAGAAAGTTCTCTCGAAGGAGATCCATTAAATTAGTCGAAAAAGTTAATTTTGAGAATTTAAAAATTAAAATTTTAAAATTAATTTTTTTTATTAAAATAAATATTTGAAGATAAATTTACAAAACGTTAATACTTAATTTGTTGTGCTAAAGCGTACAAGACAACAGAAATATATTGTCTGCTGCAGATGGAATCTTTATCACAAAATCAGCCCCTTTGTCCAAATCCCATCATTTTATTTTTTGTTGTGTTATTTTTCGATCTTTAAATAAATATTTATAGTCTACTAATAAAAGACATAAAATTAGAAAATAAACTTATAAAAGGCTAATCAATCTTCTTGCATCATATAACTTAAAATTAGAGACAAACGTAAGTGGTTTAAACTTTAAACTATAAAAATCAAGTTATTTTAAGTTCTAACATACATTAAAGGCTAAAAGTTATCTAAAATAAATTATTTTAGGATTGTCATTTCACTTTTGATGTGTGTGATTGAAATAATTAATTTCAAAATAAATTATTAAATAATTTTATTTTAAAATAATTTTCATTCTTAAATTAATTATTTCTTATCCTTCGTAGTATACGAGTGCGTAATCATTATCGTAGTGAAATGATTAAACACTCAAAACAGTAGAGGCACATGATGCATGAATAAACGCACAGATCAATATGGAAAAGAGCAAAATAGGAAGAATTTACTGTACAACACAGTAAAAAATAGTGAATGAGAAATTTTATTAATAATGTTCAAAATTTAATATATATTTTGACAATATTTGTTTCGATACGGTATTTAAGAAATAATGAAGACTTTGAAATGATTACCAAATTATCTTTCAAAAGAGTAAATTTACTTTTCTCTCTAGTTGTAATTAAGTGAGACCAATAAAGATAAAAAATGAATTGTATCTTTAAATACTTACCATATAAGAAAACGTTACATTTTTTTAAAAACTAATCAAAAAAAATGATTCCACATAAAATGAAATGAAGAAAATATATAAATATTTTTAACATATATATCTTATAAAGTTTTTTATATATATACTAGAATTTTTGATAAAGAGCGTCCAACTGGCCATCGTAAATCCGAAACAAGAAAGTAAAAAATTAGAACATAAAGGGTAATTGCCAATAGATTGGTGTGGGCTGGTTAATAATTAAATTTTCTTTTTGTGGACATATATTAAACTCTTTTACTCCATAAAAGTAAAAAGGGCACAAGTATTGTTGTGGTCTCTGTGGTCCATGAAATTATTATTATTTAAGCCAAAACTTTGGTAGTTGTAATGCTAAAAGGGGGTACTAATTTTTTTTTATTGTTTTTTTTCTTTTTGTCACTTTTCTACTTTTGACTAATTGTTTGGTCAAATGAAGTAAGAATATGAGGCATTTAAGCTTGTCTAAACATGGAACTGACTTGTATTTGTAGTGCCTTTCACTTTCTTAGCTTTATTTATCAAAAACTTGATAAATTGGATTCTTTCATTTTAGTGCAATTGAAGGATGGATTCAATTGATATTAAATCAAAGTATTGCATAGATAACTTTTTGATAATCAACGTGTCGTAAGTGGATTTCGATAGATTCATAACATTAATTACTAATAATCTTATTTAATGATAAACACATATGCTACCTACTTTATTAGACTTTTGGCGATTAAATATTCTATATTTATCGAATAAAATTGGAAGACGTCTATGCAATATAGCAACTTCATTACCTCATAGTGCTATAAGGTTTTCGTCTTCAGAACGTTACATTATTTTACGTTCTCATATATCCAACTTAAAGTCGGTCATGATATTGATTTTTGCATTCATTTGTGAAATTCTAATTAGATTAATTCTTCACCCCCCTCTCTATATATATTACCTTAGTGGGGCCTTATAAGTTCAAACTAGGAAACATATACTTTCACCTTAATTATTTGTTGTGATAAAGGCACTCAAATAGATATATGTGTTTACTTTTGGAAAATATATACAAGATTCATTTGATCAAGACACCAAAAGAAGTTAAAAGTAAAAAAAAATTTAAGTAAACCTTGTATGGCCTACCTAATTATGAATTGACAGTTAGGATAAGATAATTATTATTCCTACTAAATGCGTGTGTCTCTCTTTCTCTTTATAATTATGTGTCCAAACTCCAAATATATACCATGAAGTTTATTACATTAGATTAAAGCCTTGTTATATACTCTATGATTCAATATTTACATAAAATGCCCCTAGCTAACTTTTAGGAGATCCACAAGATCTAATTATTATTCCTTGTTATATCTTGTAACTACTACCCAATAGTTAATATACCAAATTAGGAATGTGCTTAGTGCTTAGAATCCTATTAATCAGATAACAAATTTTCAATTTTAAAAGATTAGCACCAAAACCCAAAAAATAAACAAAATCAGATTGTTATGTATTGTAATTAAAAATTATATTTAATAATTGATTAACAGTAGATTTATGTATTGTAATTTAGGACTGTAAAGACAATACTAATGTGATTTTTCTTTAACATAATATACATATGTATACATAATATATACACATTATGTATAATCGATTGTATATATAATTTACTTAGGTCATGTTTGGCAAACTAAACAATCGAGTGGTATATATTGTAACTATGCCATCTAGATTTAATAGATTG